GAAAGGACATATATGAAATTACCAGATCGCTAAAAATTATGTATACTATGCAAGCTTTTATGTACAGTCAAAAGTCGTTAATTCGGACACCCATAATCCGGACCTCAAAGCTACAAACTTTCTGCGCATGCATCGAGCTGACCTTTACGGCTGCGAATATGCGTGTGCGCATGCGCAAAATACGTTTACGCATGCGCGTTTAATGTATAACGGACGGTATAAGCTAAGTTAAAATTATCTAATTCAGTTGATGTTGCAGATTGCATTGTTCCTTAATCTCTCAATTGGATCCGGCTTATTATTTTTTGCAGACTGTTAGAACAATTTAATAAAAGTAAGCTTGAACTTTCTATTATGTCAAATAGAATTTCTGATATATATTTACTAATATGTAAAGGATCTACAAAGCGAAAGTATGTTTCGAAGTCCATTAAGAAAAAGTGGAATTGCTGCAAAAAATGGATAAAGGCATAATCCTTTGTTTATCTAGCCATTCCGAAATCTATTTATCAATTTCACGCTGGTCTTGGGGGTGGGGGGGCAGTGAATTGGAAGTTGATCTGTCAGCATTATCCTTATCTTCAGGGCAGATGTTTTCATTTTATTTGGCTTATAATTCCTTACTAAATGTAGTATTTCATCTCGATGTATTCCCATCTTTGATATGATTTAAATCAAATTCCTCGTCATTATAATTTGCTTCCGTTGGGGAGAAAGTGACACAGAGGTTATTGAAAACAAAAAAATTTCGATTGACAAATTAGTCGGTATTCTCGACGACACACAGCAATTAGGACTCGAACAGCCGAACTTTGTAACTGAAGAAGAAATTATGTCTGTTTATAGAATTAAAGAGAAAGTATTATCACATAAAACGAAGCAACTTAAACAACTTATATTGAAAGAAATGTTTAATAAAGTAAACAAATAAATATTAAGCTTTTTTTTTTTGTAAATTTTGATACCCTTTAGCTCATAATTGCTCTTTATTTCAGAAATTACGGTTTCATATTTTTAATTTTATAATTTCTGCATGCCATCTTACCAGAGTTAAACTGATGATCTATAATCCGGAAAAATCGATAATCCTGAATCGCCGAAGTCTCGATGAGTCCGGATTAACGACTTTTGACTGTATTCAGCTTGCATATACCCTTTCCAAGGATGAACATTTGCACATATAAAATAAATAAAATATGCAAGAACTTTTCCCTCTAAATTATCCATTATAAAAGTCACCTGCAAATTTATAAGGCAAACATTAAAAATGGTTGCAAATACTTAGTGTCAAATATTTAACTTATTTCCATGCAGGTTTACTTCTACTGAAATGTATTCCAAAATTCTACAAACACATAATGCACAAAATCACTATCATTTAATTAAAATATAAATAAATTAAAAACACTAGTTAAAATATAAATAAACACATACATTAAATTACTAAAAATTAGCTTAAAATCTTAGTTACTTTAAACAAATTTATTTCTAATAAAAATTTTCCAAAAATTAGCATATTAATTTATTTATTGCTTATATTTAGAACAATGCATAAAAATAATGTCTTCAAATGATTAAAAATACTAACTTACCTAATCTTCTTCAGAATCTTGATTGTATCGCGGATAAACTTTATTTTATGGATTCAACAAAAATCATTGAATGATTTTTTCTGTGAATTTTTCTGCCATACATGCTCTGCTAAATAAAAAGCAAAATTCTGCTTATCATAATGCTTAGGAATAGCACTTTTTATAGCACCCCATGTGCCCTCAATCGTATTCGTATATGCGCCTGTTTGACGATCTTTGAAATGATACTTATGGTTAACAGCAAGATGCTCCTCCAAACAGGCATATGATTTCCAGCAATCAGATATTATTATTGTACCAGGTAGAATATACTGCTTAATGAAACTTAATAAGCAATCTTTACTTTTATCTGGCACAACCTTAAAAAAACACTTATTACTCCCCCTTTCAATCCCACCAAACACCCATTTTCCTTCCACTCTCCTACCTCTCTGATACTTGCGTTTGCCAAACATACTTTCATCAATTTCAACAATGACATCCATACCACCAAGCATACTCATATCATTCTCGCAAAATTCCACGCACACTTCTCTACAGAAACAGTTCCAATCGGCTGCAGTACTACTGCTGCAATTTCTATTTCTAAATCGGAAATCCAGTAGTCAACTGGCAGGTGATTCACCCAGTAGTAAGAAATTAATAAAATTTCACCCATACTCAAACGACTTTCAGCAAACCAGGTACCCTTCCTTACACTCCATTTTACAAAATGTCCATTTTCACCAGATTTCTTGCACTGCCATTCAAACTTATCTGTAATATCCTTTCTTTCACACAATCTCATTTCATTCTCACATCTTGGACATTCATACTTATCTGCAATTCATCCTACACTCATACACCATTCAAGCAACTCTTTTAGATGATCACATAAATGCAATAAAAATTTGGAATTTACTTTAGAGAGGGCCATGGGATCCAAATATTAAGCAACACTGTTTCACACAAGATGGAATGAAGCTGAACATACAAAATGGTATGAAGTACTTGAGATATTTTTGCAAATTTCCCCCTTTTTGGATTAAAGAACTGCGATTCGTCCATAAATGTCACATAACATGTCTCATGATCTCTGATTTCTCTGAGACAATCTGTAATTGGAACTGTGTACTTTTCAGATTATTGCTAAACTCCTAGCTAGTAACCTTTATTGCCTTACCAAAATGTCGCCAAACTACCTGTTACCATATTCCAAAGATTAGCCAAAAAAATTATAAAATAAATACATTACCAAAAAAAAAAAAAAAAAAAAAAAAAATCAACAATTTTCACCAAAGGGTACCCTGAAATATATTTTTTATTGCTGTCTAAGAAAATGTAGACAGCAATAAAAAAAAAATAATAACACATATGGAAGTAACCACACAAAAGAATAACATTAAATTATACCAAGAAAAAAGATAAAACTTCTTCCTATAAACTATATAGTAACGTAGAGTTTCAGTTGTAATGTCTTTCATTCCTTTTTCATATGAAGTTTACTAGTGTTTCAAGGACAAGAAAGCAAGACTTAGAATAGATTTAAGGGTGGGTGCCTCTTGTATTATCATGAAGTTGTTGTTTCATTTATGGTAACCTTAGTAGTTGAATGTTATGGAAATCCTATTATGACATAATCGGTTGTGTCACTGCGGTACATTTTGAATGATAGGAAAAGATTTGTAAGGGCTTGTGGTGTGCGTTTTACACACTCTGCAAGCCCTTACATTAAGTTGGTTAAGAAGTACATTGGTTGTTTTGTGGTTTACACAGAAGAATGGATGAATGTGGTAAGATTAATTTGAAGTTTCTGTACAGTTTGGAATGAAAGTGGAAAAGAGTAGTAATTGACTGGTGTGTAAATGAGTTTACTTAGTTGCCATTATCAGTGTACTGTTTGTAGGAAGGAAATGCATATGGTCAAACAACGAAGGATACCTGCACTATGCAGGATATTTTTTACTCTTATTTTTTTTTTAATTTATGTGGCAACGCCAGTATACAGATTCTAGTTCAGATAATTTAGAGAAGTTTTTGGATGCTGTTAAGGAATTTTGTTTGACAGAAGACAGGGAAATTTGTAAATAAGGTGAGTGGATATTTCCTTTGTATAGTGCTAATATGAATTTCCTTTTTTATGTTATTCCATTATTTGATTTAAAATGTAGTTTATTAAGATTACATATTTTTTGTTGGCTGTTCCTTTGACTTTTTAAGTGAATATAGATCGATGTGTACATGGATAAAGGGAGTGCGCAATGCCAAGTTTGTGCAATTCTCTGATTTTTCTTAAGTGAAAATAGGTCAATGTGTACATGGATACCGAGTTTGTGCAATTCTTTGACTTATTATTTTTTCTTTGCGTTAAGGTGATTTTGGGCACAACAAAAAACAAAAAAAAAAAAAAAAATCAAACTTAAAATTTTGAAATCTTGTTAATAATTAACTAATTTTCTTTAAAAAGTTACATCAAGTTAAGTTGATTACATTTGATAGAAATCATACAACAGATGTTTTTTATAACAATTATTCAAGTATTATGCTAAATATCTTAAAATATAGGTCACAATTAAGGCAAAAAGAAATTATAGAAATATTTTTAAATACTTATTATTTGCATGCATATAAAAAATACAGAAAAATTTTGGAAATTTTAATGATTCTTATTTTAAAACAAAAAACATAGTATAGGAAAAGAATTGTTGAATTACACAGAGGCATACAGGATACAAAAAGTCTTCATAAAAGGAAGCTTTTTTTGGTCACATGTGTGCCGATGGTCGTTTAACATCAATACTTATTTATTTTCTCAGAAATATTCATCACTTCAAAAGTGATGCATGAAGGAGTTACTCTGTAAGGTTTCATTGTGAAAGAAAAAAAAAAAAAAAAAAGAGACTTGCATTTTATTTATTCAATTCTTCAAACAAGTTTTTTAATTTGGACATCAGCTGTCACGCCTTTCAAAAAAATACGTACCACCAATTACAATTGCATAACTTTTCTCCCACTGTTGTAGACTCAGCAAGTTATGCTATATTAAAAAGAATACAATTTTATTATGGTACGAATACAGACAAAATGTCAGCTTTCTACTCCGCGAATATGATATCTAACTGTATCTAAAACGTACTTTTGTTAAATAACAGTGGGCGAATGAAGTTCCAGTTGTTATTCATCACAAATTAAACAAATAGATCTGTAAAGCGCTTTTCTTGGGATTAATTTCAACTTCTTTTGCAACACACTTCAACGTATTATGAACAAATATTCACCGATTGTACAACGCGGTAATATATTATCGGAGCAGACGCCCACTTCCACGTCGCATAATGTGTAACTAACATTAAACTGAAAAACGAAGTCTCTTAAGAAACTTCTAAATTTGAATAAATCGCAGCAATTCTCGCTCCATATTACACTTACCATAAATTTTTATCGTCATCATCATCAGGTTTTTCGTCCAATTTCAAATCGCTGTTTCCTTTAACAGTAATCTGTGCCATTTTTAAAAAAGAAAAAATAAACTTATAAATATACACAATGCTGAATTTTGTATAACGCGTATTTACTTAATTTATGATTACTTTAAAAACAATTAACTGTCACAAATCATCGAAATATATTTTCATTGCATGATCACAAACCACAGTATATGTATAACTATTGCCATTACAAGAAACAGACAGACAGACAAAGTAGACAGATGTCTTGTTTTGCACCTGCTAAGTCTTTCTGCACCGATGGGCGAAAAATCAAGCATAGGTGCGAAGGAAAGGAATATAGAAAGAGGGGCAATTTCGTATTTGAGGAACAAGCGCCTGGCCCCAGCCACCACCCCAAGCTCTTATTGGACACGACTTGAGATGTCATTTAGTGACGAAAAGAATTTCTCCGCGGCATTTTTGCGTACCAAAAGCTTGAGCCATTCGAGCGTCATTTTAAAAGCGGGTGAAACGATGGCGTAAGCAATGGAATAATTTGCCCACGTTTGCGAAAAAATTACAAAAATAAAAAGCAGCTTCTGAAACATATTGTTAATATACATGGTATTATAAAAAAAGGTGCAATTCGATGTGCAATCGATAACCTGTTTAGCAAGTATTTTCTGTTCATTAGACGAATATCGAAGTCATTTGAGCAATAAACACTTTTATAAGATATAAAAGTTAAGAAACAGTAAACAATAATTCATAAAAAACAGCATGATAACTCCAATTGACAAAGTCAAATAAACGATGTTATAAGTATTTTACGATTTAAAAGTATCTTATCACTTTATCTTATTTTTTAACCACAAATGAGGAGAATTAATGCCTAGGTAAAAAATTAGTAAAAATTAATCTGACTACGAACAATTTTGATACCAAACAATCTCTATATAAGCAAAGCAATAAATGAAAGGAAGATTATTTAATTAATCAAACAGTTAATTTTTATGAAGAAATAACTAGCATTTTACATTTACATCACTTTTAAAAACACTTCTCTGCAAAATAAACCGCTAATTAATGAAAACTGCGGCAGACATTATTTACACAGTAAGAATTAAGTACTATTTCTTGACATTGCTGACGAAGCAAATCTGTTTAATGTCTCCTTTTTATATGAAATTATAAAATACATTCTTAATATCAGTATATCGCTATGAATTTGCATTGAATACAGATTGCTTAGCCAAACACTATTTTACGCATTATAAGTTTTATCTATTCCATTAACATGGTAACATTTACTAAAAGCGCCGATATTTTCTATAGTTGTTCGTTTAATTGCAAATCTTTACATCCAATCCATTAACACGGAGAACCAATCCGTGTATTGTCCCCTATACAACGAAACATATGAATCTTTTCAGCTGCGTCTAAACGCACAATAAAAAGGAACTTCGTACATCTTGTACGAGTTCAAAAGGCCAGGAAGAAAAGATGGGACAAAATAAAATTTAAATAAATGGCCCAAAAATAATAGAGGAGAAAAAAAAAAAAAAAAAAAAAGGGCCTATAGAAAGAAAAGGAAAAGAAGTAGAAAATATCCTAAAATACGATTGTGTCCATGAGTGTAGTTAAAAGGAGAAGAAACTGTCTTCATTTACAATAAATAGTGTCTCACAGGTGTGTTTGTGTAGTGAGTGTGTTTGGTAATGGTGAATAGATGTGTTACTGGGGAAAAAACAAATATTGACGGTGTTAAAATGCTTCGTATCAAGGTATTTAGCATGGAATATAAAGTAATATGTATGCTTGCATCCTGAGATATCAACAAAGGTCATCAAACAAAAGTATATATTAATTTAACCAAAGTAACTTATGCTACTTTCATTCTCAACATTTTCATACATTTTTCAAAAAACAGCAGCAGACTAACAACATAGAACCATATACAATACAAGACCACAACCGCACACACCCAAAAAAAAAATATATATATATATGTGTGTAAATTACTGAGTATATGTATTAAAAACACAAATTAAACAGTATTTATTAATTTAACTATCATAATTTATTACAAGATTAATTATTTTTACTATCATAATTTATTACTAGTTAAATAATGTTAATATAACACAATGAGGCACACTGTTATTTATATAAGCTCATAGTTCTAAAAAATTCATTTAAGGCGGTGAAGAATAAACCATCCCTTACATATGGACATTTAACAGATAGCAAAGAACAGTATGAGAAAAAATCGGTGAGGTATAATATTATTTAAAGGCGAAACTATATTCAAGCGATCTAGAAAGAAAAGAGAATCCAGAAGATCCGAGAGGGAAATAGCGCGATGCCCAAATTATCCCTCTCATCCCCAAATTTTCCCTCTCTCGAGATTCCTTAAGGGCTTTGTAAGTGTTGACAGACGTGAACTGATAACGCTGGCGTCTGTTTCGAGTTGATACACAAAGGAAGCCACAAGCAATGGCAATTTCAAGTATTTTTTAATGCTTTAAACTGATGAAAAATTAAGATTTATTGATTTAAAGGCACTTATTTATAGAAATTTGATTTAGTTTAGATGAAAGAAAAGTACTTATCTTAAATTCAGCTTTTAGTAATTAATTCCCGGTGTTTTAACCCCCCGTCGGCCCCAAGCCGGGAACGGCAGCGGTTGAGAGGAAATAAAACAAAAATTTTAATGTTCACCAAAAAAGGAAAATTTTCATTCAAAGCAGCAGCTATACATGATAATGTTCAGGAAGTGATTAGATAAAATAGAGATTTAAGGATGGTTCTAATTGCAAGCGAGGACGAGTAATTAGTTAAAACTCTTTAAGTGTATTGACAAAAAGGCTACAGAAATTACTTAAATTCTTTTTATTTAACAGAGGAATTTTTTTGCAAACTTAGACCCTAGTCTTAATAGCATTGGACTGTCAGAATTTATTATTCAATAAGAAAACTTAGTGAAAATTATAATATTCTTATATATTCATCACTTTTTTTTCAGTATCCACTCATGTTTTATAGGTTAAAATGCCATATTCAATATCAAGTTATTTATGAAATAAAAACCGTATATAATCTGATAAATCATTTGTGTGTGCAAAATTTTAAATCTAAATCTCTTACTTTTATTTCTGTCTTTTAAATTAGATCCCATTATTTATTAAATTTAATTGATTAATGTTTTGCACTAATATTTCAAGTTCTTTGAAGCACATTTTGTGTCCAAATGCCAAGTATTTCCAAAAAAATAAGCAACCAATAATTCATTTAATAGTTCATATGTAGGTTTATATTTATTTTAACTAACATTTATTTTAAGTTTAAACTATCTTTCCTGTCAAGCCTTACTTTCCCCTGGAACTGCCAATGCCAGAATATGTAAATTTGAGTAGAACGCGCAAGGCATTCAAATTATCAGCGGAAGTAGTATGATTTAAATAGAAGGAAACGAGTTCGGTGAGAGAGTTTATTCTTACTTCGCGAGCGCGGAGGTAGTTAATCGAGAATTGAAAGAACCCCGCGTTGCGGCCTATGTGCTTGGCGGGAAGTAGTTGCAATTGTTCCAGTGAGCTTCAAGTCTGCTGAATTAGCTGCGGTATTTGTAAAACGCGGTGAGTTAGTTATTTTAGAGAGCCTCGTAGTTAGAATCTTGTCTTTATTTTTTCTTTTCAGGTTTATTATTTTTATTTTGACTGCCTAGTTGGCAAGTTTTGTAAGCGTCAAGAGCACGCAATTGTAAATTTATTACGTTGAATAAAAAGGGACTTAAACCCTTTACAAGACTCTGTGGTTTATACAAGTTTCACAGTCACCTCTTGGTTGCGTGCAAGTTGGAGGCGCGCAACGTTATATTGGCGCCCGAACACTTATCGAACTGAAATGGCCGAAAACTGGATGGAAGCCGCTGGACAACACCAAGAAATGACAACGCAGTTAGAAGGATTTGGATACCTGGTCCAGACTTTGAGAGCATCAATCAAGCCAAACGTCTATTTCGACGGAAAAAATTCGGTGTCCGTATTTTTAGAAGGTATAGAAAACCACTTTCAGCTCTACCCTGTGCCTGAAAGACAAAAAGTTGCCATCGCCACATCAGCACTAAGAGGACAGGCCGCGCTATGGTGGAAAAATATAGGCAAATTTCTTACTAGGTGAATTTGGAAGCCCGACGTATACATTTGAAAATTTCAAAAAATCGTTAGTAAAGGCCTTCCCCATAGTGAAAGATCGCGCACGGCTGGAAGCCGAAGCTATATAGTTTCTATCAACGGGATACAGCAGAATTGACGGACTTTATTTACGAAAAATCAAGCTAACGGATATGCTGTATAGGAAAAAAAAACCCGATGCGGAGATTATTGAAATAATATTACCAAGATTGTTACCCGCTGGTCCAAGACTACTTTGAAATTAGAAACCCAACCACATTGCAGGAACTTTTCGAATTGGCGGTGAAGTTTCAAAATCGCAGAATAGCGGAAAAAGCGAGAGGGGAAACATATTCTCAAAGTACCAGAAGGAAGGAGGAAACCAGAAATGGAAATCGCTCATATGGGGGAAAGAACTATCAAGCTAACGCATCGAAACTCGAAGGTCAAGGCCCAAAAAGAAAATTTGAAAATAAGCATCCGCGTACCCAGAAGACACAGATTGAAAGGAAAGCTTTAAACGACTAGAGGGGCCTGTGAAAGGGAGGGTCCAGACCCCGGAAGTTTTAAAAAAACCCTCAAATAGACATTTAAATACAGTCATCGTAAAAAACTCACAGCTACCAATTATACAAGTCCTGGTTGGCGATGTACCAGTAGAAGCCCTCATCGATACAGGAGCAGAAGGAAATTTTCATGAGTGAAAAGTTTCTTCAAAAAGAATTTTTATAGGATACGACTATTTAAAACCAGAAATACGGAAATTATAGCGGCGCAAGGAAAAACATGTCACTGCATCGGGAAAGTATCATTAAACATACAGGTAAAAGAGGAAAATCTCAAAGTATTAATTTTTGTGGTGAAACACCTGCAACACTCTCTTATTTTAGGTATGGACTTTTTAAGGGCCGCGAGGGCCAAATTAAATTTTCAAGATAGTTCCGTGGTGCTGGAGATGGACCAGAGGGTGGTGGAACCTGCAGAGACACCTGAATTGGACCTTAGCCATTTGAATGACCAGGAAAGTAAAGCAATACAGCAAGTGGTGAGTAATTTTTCTCATTTGTTTTCAGAAAAACCGGGAAACTGTCA